ATTTTATTGATGGACCAGCGGGGGAGGAGCCGCTTCGCGACTCTCCCCCGCTGGACCCAGTCTAGGCCTTATGAATCGAGCGCCCTTCCACATAATCTGACGAAAGAAAAACGCAACTCTCATGCAAACCTCTTTGTATTGGTATGCGGCTCAAACTTGAACTGCTATTCTCGTTATTAGGCCTGCGGCTCTAGCTTGAGCGGCTAGCTTCGTTCTAAAGTCTGCGGCGCTAGCTTGAGCGGCTAGCTTCGTTCTAAAGCCTGCGGCGCTAGCTTGAGCGGCTAGCTTCGTTCTAAAGCCTGCGGCGCTAGCTTGAGCGGCTAGCTTCGTTCTAAAGCCTGCGGCGCTAGCGTAAGCGGCTAGCTTCGTTCTAAAAGCCTGCGGCGCTAGCTTGAGCGGCTAAAGCTTCGTTATTAGGCCTGCGGCTCTAGCTTGAGCGGCTAGCTTCGTTCTAAAGTCTGCGGCGCTAGCTTGAGCGGCTAGCTTCGTTCTAAAGCCTGCGGCGCTAGCTTGAGCGGCTAGCTTCGTTATTAGGCCTGCGGCTCTAGCTTGAGCGGCTAGCTTCGTTCTAAAGTCTGCGGCGCTAGCTTGACCGGCTAGCTTCGTTCTAAAGCCTGCGGCTAGCTGGCGAGCGGCTAGCTTCGTTCTAAAGCCTGCGGCGCTAGCTTTCGAGCGGCTAGCTTCGTTATTAGGCCTGCGGCTCTAGCTTGAGCGGCTAGCTTCGTTCTAAAGTCTGCGGCGCTAGCTTGAGCGGCTAGCTTCGTTCTAAAGCGTGCGGCGCTAGCTTGAGCGGCTAGCTTCGTTCTAAAGCCTGCGGCGCTAGCTTGAGCGGCTAGCTTCGTTATTAGGCCTGCGGCTCTGCTTGAGCGGCTAGCTTCGTTCTAAAGTCTGCGGCGCTAGCTTGAGCGGCTAGCTTCGTTCTAAAAGCCTGCGGCGCTAGCTTGAGCGGCTAGCTTCGTTCTAAAGCCTGCGGCGCTAGCTGAGCGGCTAGCTTCGTTATTAGGCCTGCGGCTCTGCTTTAGAGCGGCTAGCTTCGTTCTAAAGTCTGCGGCGCTAGCTTGAGCGGCTAGCTTCGTTCTAAAGCCTGCGGCGCTAGCTTGAGCGGCTAGCTTCGTTCTAAAGCCTGCGGCGCTAGCTTGAGCGGCTAGCTTCGTTATTAGGCCTGCGGCTCTAGCTTGAGCGGCTAGCTTCGTTCTAAAGTCTGCGGCGCTAGCTTGAGCGGCTAGCTTCGTTCTAAAGCCTGCGGCGCTAGCTTGAGCGGCTAGCTTCGTTCTAAAGCCTGCGGCGCTAGCTTGAGCGGCTAGCTTCGTTCTAAAGCCTGGGGCGCTAGCTTGCAGCGGCTAGCTTCGTTCTAAACCTGCGGCGCTAGGCTCGAGCGGCTAGCTTCGTTCTAAAGTCTGCGGCGCTAGCTGGGCGGCTAGCTTCGTTCTAAAGCCTGCGGCGCTAGCTTGAGCGGCTAGCTTCGTTCTAAAGCCTGCGGCGCTAGCTTGAGCGGCTAGCTTCGTTATTAGGCCTGCGGCTCTAGCTTGAGCGGCTAGCTTCGTTCTAAAGTCTGCGGCGCTAGCTTGAGCGGCTAGCTTCGTTCTAAAGCCTGGGGCGCTAGCTTGAGCGGCTAGCTTCGTTCTAAAGCCTGGGGCGCTAGCTTGAGCGGCTAGCTTCGTTCCTAAAGCCTGCGGCGCTAAGCTTGAGCGGCTAGCTTCGTTCTAAAGCCTGCGGCGCCAGCCTGAGCGGCTAGCTTCGTTCTAAAGCCTGCGGCGCTAGCTTGAGCGGCTAGCTTCGTTATTAGGCCTGCGGCTCTGGCCCGAGCGGCTAGCTTCGTTCTAAAGTCTGCGGCGCTAGCCGAGCGGCTAGCTTCGTTCTAAAGCCTGCGGCGCTAGCTTGAGCGGCTAGCTTCGTTCTAAAGCCTGCGGCGCTAGCCTGAGCGGCTAGCTTCGTTCTAAAGCCTGCGGCGCTAGCTTGAGCGGCTAGCTTCGTTATTAGGCCTGCGGCTCTAGCTTGAGCGGCTAGCTTCGTTCTAAAGTCTGCGGCGCTAGGATTGAGCGGCTAGCTTCGTTCTAAAGCCTGCGGCGCTAGCCTGAGCGGCTAGCTTCGTTCTAAAGCCTGCGGCGCTAGCTTGAGCGGCTAGCTTCGTTATTAGGCCTGCGGCTCTAGCTTGAGCGGCTAGCTTCGTTCTAAAGTCTGCGGCGCTAGCTTGAGCGGCTAGCTTCGTTCTAAAGCCTGCGGCGCTAGCTTGAGCGGCTAGCTTCGTTCTAAAGCCTGCGGCGCTAGCCTGAGCGGCTAGCTTCGTTCTAAAGCCTGCGGCGCTAGCTTGAGCGGTTAGCTTCGTTCTAAAGTCTGCGGCGCTAGCTTGAGCGGCTAGCTTCGTTCTAAAGTCTGCGGCGCTAGCTTGTACGGCTAGCTTCGTTCTAAAGTCTGCGGCGCTAGCTTGTACGGCTAGCTTCGTTGTAAAGCCTGCGGCGCGAGCTTGAGGGGGTAGCTTCATTCTATCGGCTGCGGCGCAGGTTTGAGTGGCTAACTACATAATAACGTCCCTACACGGAAATCCACTCCGCAACACACTTTCCGAGCAAAAAGCAAAACAACCACGATATCCGAGGATCGAACCTCCGATGGTTAGATTAGTAGGGCGATGCGCTAACCACTACACCATGCAATGCTTGGCAGCACGCGCCAAAAACCCTTTTTGGGCATTGCCCGGGGCAGGGGAAGAAAAAGCATCGAGAGGCAGATCCAAAGAGACGACCAAACTCGCGAGTGCAACTGGCAAGAATGAGGAAATTTGTATTTTTTCACATTATGCAAATAAGCCTGCCTGGACCCCCAAAAATCAATAAAACCGGCTTTAACTTTGTAACCTTGTATTTTATCGGGATTCTGAAAACGCCATCGGAAAGAGGAGGGTCGATTCCCCCGGGTGACGGAGAATTAGGGCATTTTGGACACGGGAAGGCCCTCAAATCGGGCCTCGAAGGTGACATCCACACACACACACACACAGAGATACGCGACCAAATTATATAAGGTAGGATAAGTAGCTGAGCTGTCGTAGAGCGTCCTCTAAGAAAGCCAAACTGGTTTTTTGAAAGAAGGTTTTCTGTTTCTAGGAATTCTGACAGAGTCTTCCTTATGACTTTCTCCATGATTTTGCAGAATGAGCTTGTCAAGGATATTGGTCGGTAGTTTCCAGGTTCTTCTCTTGCCCTTTTTAAATATGGGTTGTATGATGGCGTGTTTCCAGCGATCAGGGACAACTCCAGAGTAGAAACTTCTGTTGTATATCAAGGATAGTGGTAGGGCTAAAGAGCTGGCGCAGGCTTTAATGAAATAGGCAGGTACCGGGTCATTAGTTCGAGTAAATTTTGGCTTGAGCGAAGTTAAGATAGTCCGTTCAATAATGTGTGGTCCGAAGTCAACATCTGATAGTGAATTATTGGTCCTACTCGGTAAATAAGAGGAATTTGAAGGATTAGACGGGGACTTGTAGTGAATGCTGAAGCGAATTGCTCTTGGAGAGCATTGGCCTTTTCCGTATCAGTGACGGCCGTTTTCTTCTCCCTAGTAGGGAGTGGGGGGATAGAATTTTGTGCAGTGGTCTTGGACCTGACAAAGCCATAGAAACGTTTCAAGGCCCCGATCCGCCCATGCTTAGAAGAGTTATCTACAAAATTCCTTTTGATTAGTTTCTTGTTGTAGGGCCGAACGGAGATCCTTACTTGTATTTTTGTAAGACAGGCTATTGCCTTCAGCTTTTCTTCTTCTCAGAAGAGTTTTAATCTTTCCCGAGAGACCTGTACGAGTGCTTTTGAACGGTATAAATTCTTTGACTAGATTTTCCAGGTAACTGTCCAATTTCTCTTGCAGGCATTCAACATTGCCGTCTCGGAATTCGAAAAGCCAATTGACCCCCGCTATCCTTCGATTTATTTCAGGGTATGGGGCACGGCGAAAATCTCTTACAAGGGGACGTTTTTAGGTGGGCACGGAGTTTCGTAACGAGACCTAGCTCATTCGAAAGCGCTTGAAAAACTGAGCAAGATCCCGTTTTCCATTTCTGCGAAACGATAGCTATTGATTTTTAATAATTAAATTAAAGAATTAGCAGAAATTGGCATGATTCCCCTGGCGCTGAGCGATTTCCTTTCAATACCCCCTCCCGCGGAAAGCCAGGCCCCGTCCTCCCTTCCCCATAGCTATTTGGCGCAGCCGGTAGGGCGTTTGCCTCCCACCAAATTTTTTTTGGACTTTTTGTCAGTTCGACCCCTTGGCCCAAAATTCATTTTGCTTTTTATTTTAGGGGGCTGAATTTTTACTTTAATTATCGAATGCGTTAAATAAACGTTCTGAACAGCATCGGTGGAGGCACAAGCGGGCCAGTTGATTTTGATCCCTGAGACGCGAGTGCAACGCTACCGGTTTCTGGGCCTAGGGGTCGAACCGACAAAAAGTCCAAAAAAATTTCGTGGGAGGCACACGCCCTACCGACTGCGCCAAATAGCTATGGGGAAGGGAGGACGGGGCCTGGCTTTCCGCGGGAGGGGGTATTGAAAGGAAATCGCTCAGCGCCAGGGGAATCATGCCAATTTCTGCTAATTCTTTAATTTAATTATTAAAAATCAATAGCTATCGTTTCGCAGAAATGGAAAACGGGGTCTTGCTCAGTTTTTCAAGCGCTTTCGAATGAGCTAGGTCTCGTTAAAAACTCCGTGCCCACCTAAAAACGTCTCCTTGTTAGTCGAGGGGGAGCAGGGCGACGGTGACTAAGCACTCAGATCTCCTGGCGCAACGATTTTCTCGGATCTCGGAAAGAGGGATTTTTGGTGTTTCGTTGCGAGGTAAAATTTCTAGAGGCAAAAACTCGCGTGATTCAGCCCTTTCGCAACCGCTGTAATTTATAGCTCGCTCAGAAGTCATCGAAAACAATTCTCTGGCGCAACGACGGGCCAGCGTATAAATGGCCCAGGGGCTTCGGCAGTGTGTCCCTTCCTTGCCCGTTCTCAAACATGACACGACACACACTGCTGCTTCCGCTTCTCCTCCTGGCTGTGTTCATCAACTGTTCTATTGCAGGGCCGTTTGCGTATTTCTTTTGTCTAGGAAGTCAGTGCTTTTTCCATAGATTAATGTTATACTAATAGTATTAACATATATAAGGGAGATCTCGTGTCAAGCTTTAAGGGGAAGGCCGAAAAAAATCAAATCCGGCTTGAAATACTGCAAGTTCTTGGTGATTCACGTTGTTAAGATATCAAATTTCGGCGACCAAAACATTGTTGACGATGTGGTTATTTAGGTTGCGCAGGAGTCTGTTCCGGGGCTGCAATTATCGTCACCGGTGGACTCGGAGCCATCGGAGTTCCGGCTTGTCTCGAAGCCTGTGTCGGGGGATGTGTTGCCGTTGGTGTCGCCCCGACTCCCTGAATTACCCAACTCAGTACTAATTTGAAAATTTTCTATCTCAATAAACGTTTTAGACTCATTTTGATGCTAATTGGACTGACTGGTGACGAGGCCAGATATTTATTTTCGTATAATTTGCGTGTACATTGCTGATTTTTCCATACATAATCCAATATTTCTAGATGGATCAAGACGAAAAAACTGCACCACGGCCTCCACTACCATCGTATACTTGGAGAGAAGGCGGGATAGGAGGTGTACTCGCTGCCACTGCCGGGTTTACTGTAGCTGTCGGAGGAGGACTTATTGGAATGGTTCTCGGCACCTTGGGCTTCATTTCCTAATTAGTTTGCAACATTCAAGACATCATATCCACTTTTTCTTCAATAAAACATGTGTTTCTTCATCTTTTCACGAAACATGACGCATGGTCTCTCTCTTTCTCTCGCTCTCTCTATCTCGCCCTATCACGCCTTTTTTACATACATACAGGGTGGGTCAAAAAAAAGCCAACTTTGCGCCATATTATCTCGCGAACGGTAGAGAATCGAAGGTTCGTTACCATGCCAGAATGCTTAAATATGCTGGGCATGAAGATTTAACACAAATTGATTTTCTCGATTTTTGGCGACGTACCAATACAAATGACACCCGAAAAATGTGCGTTCCGATAAAAATTCGTTTGCAATTTTTTGGATTGCTGGTGGTCTAACACTTTCAATTTTTACAGTGTAGGTACCTAAGGGCTGCCCCTACCCATATCCGGAATTTTGGAATTTTTGAAGGTCTGGTTGGCAAGTTATAGCGTGCTCAAATTTAATATGGAAAAATTTCGTAAATTTCGAATATTACAAAAACCTATGGTGGAGACCTCAAAATAAGCTTTTTTAACATGTCTATGGGCTCGATACAATCGCACAAAAACATCAAAGAATTTTTTCTGATCCATGAATTTTTGAGTTTTTGACGACCCCCTGGTCATGGATTTTTTCGAGGTGTCGAAACTGAACTTTGAAAAAGTATTCCTAAAGTTCCGAATAGAACCTAGGTGTTTTCTTCACTGGGTTGTGTAGGACTGGGGTCCATCTATCATGTACACAATTTCTAGCTACCGTACCCCTTTGGAAGGTTGCTTTTTAGCGCCTCCAAAACGGTTGGTTCGTGCTATTTCGCAGACCTTCGTGCCAGTCTATAAAATTCAATTGCGCTGCTAGAATTATTGTCATAATTTTATTTAATGCTACTTAATGGGCGCATTCTAAGATTATATTTACAAATTTATTGGGCCATCCGATCTTTCAAAATAAATTCATGAAAACTCCAAATATACCCGAATTCGAGGCGACGTAAAAAAATTCTCGAGGGTTTAGTAGCCCCGACTTTTCTGGCATAGACCAAGCTTGGGTAATCAACTAGAACCCATGCAAATACAAAACCTTTTCACGGCAAACGAATTTAGAAGAGCATCCCAAAGTCGGCTTTTCAAAAACGTTATTTTTCGGGTTTTAAATCAAAATTAGCCATTAACTTCAGCCAGATCATTCCAGTATTCTGCTCTCATACACAGTTCGATGCGTGCTTTAATTATATCCACGAAAATCCGGTGACTTTTTCATTTTCAAAAAATTCGATTTTCGGCCCGGGGCCTCGGGTCCAAAATCGGGCCCCGAGGAGGGTTTTACACTTTCCCTCATAACTTTGTCATTTACCACAGAAAGTAAGTCATTTTTTGCCTGCGTTATCATAATCACCCAGAGAACATTCTAAAACAGAAAAATTGGCATTTTATGGCATTTTGTCTTGGCATGCTAAAACGTGCTCCAGGCGGGTTACTGTAGAAAACAGAAAATCGCCGTTTTCTCGTTCTTTTCACCATAGAAACGTTTCGATCTTTCAGGAAAACAACTAATAGCAGTTTTTAGTCCGATGCATCAAAATATTTAGAAATTTCCGTGGCTAAATTCAAAAATAAGTTTTTTTGCATATTTTGGGAAGGTATATGGCTAGAACTTCGCGATCTTTGGCCCATAGGCGACCCTTATTGGTGTTTACCAATGATAAACTTTTAAGCGAAATCGCAGCTTACAATAAAAAGAAAAACGCGAAAAACGAAAACTACAGTATCCCTCTGGGGCACGTTTTAGCACGCAATATTAAAACACCATAGAATCAGGTAAAATTTGGTATTGTACTAAAGATTATCATTCGGAGACACCACCTGCAAAAGATCAGCCATGGGCAGCGTATTTGAAGCGAGTTGCCAATTAAAATGTCAAAAGATACAAAATAGTGAAATTTGTTTTGCTTGTAAAAAAAGAACTAGAGCTTGAAAAATTCTAATAATTGGCCATTATTTTTCTACAAATGCCAACGATTTTTGGGCCAAAAATCAGAATTTTCCCACCACCCGTTCAAGAACGCACAATTTTCGGTCGTAATCAGCGTCAATAGTACAGTTGCGTACTCAAAAATCAAAAAAATCAAGTTGTGTTAAATCTTCATACCCAGCATATTTAAGCATTCTGGCATGGTAACGTACCTTCGATTCTCTACCGTTCGCGAGATAATATGGCGCAAAGTTGGCTTTTTTTTGACCCACCCTGTAGAAATTACAGCGTC